AAGAATGAAGTCAAGATTGAGGCGTCTGAGAAACCAGATACTAAGATATTGACAGAAACATGTCGGCTCTCTGCAGATCACAGGAATGAGATTAATGGGACTGAAACATGTTCTGATGGCTCAGAAGCGTTCAATTGTTCTGAAGCACAGAAGAAAACTTCAGCAGTACCAACACAAATTCCTGCAAACTTAAGCTGTCTTCAAGAAACCGCAGCAGAATTGTTCCAAGTTCGTAATCATGTCATACCTGTAAAGAGGGAAAAGATGTAAGTAGTGTGCTCCTCAATTGTCATTCTTCTAAAGTGTTGTTTGTTTCATATATTTACTGGAGTTTCTCTCATTGTCCATCACTAGAGATAATCCTGGTGTTAGCTTCGATGCTACGATGCATTCGAGAAACAAGATTCACGATGTTGGAGATCATTCTAAACTAAATGCTATGTTCCAGTCTCCTTTCATTGGAGGTTCGTCGTTCATTCCCCAATTGCCTGTTCTCTTTCGTATGTCAACTCATAAAGGAAAAAACAACAACCATGTGATTAATATGTTTGCTTCTATTTAGAGGAGATGGGGATTGAGAAGAAGATCGTAGCGAGCGTGTCACCTGACAACAGTGATGTTCAGTATCAGTTTATGCTTGAACAACGTGTTCTCCGGCGGCTTTGTGTTCAGAAGATAGTGGTGCCTACACCGATGAAGGACAAGCTAGATAAGGTAATATAGTCTAGACCAGCCAGGTCGTCATAATTCTGTATTGCTTTTCCCCCCTACTTTTTGAATATTCTGAACTACACCTGTCCTAAGGAAAAATGCTGTTTTATTGTGTCATTTTGAAAATGGTAGGAATTCCAAAAGATACTTTCGTGCGTGCAACTTCATTTGGTGCATAATTGTTGTGGCAAACTTATCAAATGTTGCTGCCAGCCTTTTATTATGAATATTATATTCTGCTCGCCCTCTTTCTCCACATTATTAAGTTCAAATATGCTTTTTATACAGGATGCAAACTTTAGGATAGTGGAGGATGGATCTCATGTCCTTCCAAAAAGCATCTAACAGGTAAACAGCCGGAATGGACTTTCCATTTTCAGTCTTCACGTGTTTTTAATGACTTGAGCATGAGTCATGAAATCAGAAATTAAAGTTTATACAACATTTATTCATGCAGATTCACATCAGGGCATCAGGGGAAGGAAATGACAATGTAGGAAAGGAACTCATTTCACGCCCGTGAAATGCAGGAGCAAGCACTTACATGCGTCTAAGGAGTTCCTCCGTGTCCGTACCCTCATTTAAGGGCACCTCGCTCTTTTGTAGTGTCTGTTTGAAAATTTTAATGTTTCCTTCAGCCATTATTTCTTTAGTGTTGGTTTTCACCATAATCTCGCGTCATTGTATGCCAGTGGAAATCCGGATTTGCGAATTATTGGTTGTTAGTGATTCTGGGAGGGTCATCTGATGTTATGCAATGCTAATCTATTACACTTCTTTATATTGTAAGTAAAGTTCGTCAAAAGCTACAGAAATGTAGCAATCAGATTCACCGGACCTTTTCTATTCTGAACTCCAACTCTCACCATTGACAGGTCCCTGCTATGCCAACCCCCCCTTTTTTATAGGACTATGCCAACCCTTTTTGAAAGAGAAAAAAGGTAACCATTTTGTTTTATATATAACCATGTTGAAAACGACTGATAAGATGTTTGACACTAATTTAGAGTATTAAACAAGATTAATTACAAAACTAATTATACAGATTGAGACTAATTTACGAGACAATCTATTAAGTCTAATTAGTCAATGATTTAACAATGTTTTGCTACAGTAAATATATGTTAATGATGGGTTAATTAAGCTTAATAGACTCTCAAATTAATCTCCATCTGTGCAATTGGTTTTATAATTTGATTATGTTTAATCCTCCTAATTAGCATCTAAATATTTGATATGACGAAGACTAAACTTTCCTGGTATCCAAACACCCTGTGAATTGGTATCGCAAATGCACACAAAACCAGACCGGACTGAATAATGGTTGGCATTCAAACTCTAGAACGGTCATTACGTGTAGCTGTGTTTTAACAATCTTGTAACATGCCGCTAACATTTGGTTACATTTGGGTGGGTCTGCGTTTTGATTGTTTGGCCTGGCTCTACGTTACGGCTTGTCATCTCCATTCTCCAACTACGCACCGGGTCGCGATAAGACCTTATCCTGCGCGGTCACTTGGCGCGAGGGTGGCCACCCACGTCAGACGAGCGGGCTGACCTGGCGCCCCTCCAGCTCATCCTATCTACATATCTGTGTCCCTCTCCCCCGGCCAGCCGCTCCTGCCATCACACATCCGCACACGTCCCAGAGCAAGCGCCTGAGCCCAAGCCCCCATGGCCGCCACCGCCGTCGCGGCGTCTCTGTCCGTGGCCCAGGGGCTCGGGAAGCTCCTCTGCGCCGGCAGCAACGCGTCGTCTCTCCGGGTCGTCGCGCCCCGCCGGTCGGCCAGGATGGCCGTCGTCCGGGCGTCCGCGCAGAAGCAGCACCCGGCCAAGGAGTGGGCGGCCGCGGCTGCCGTGGCGGCGGCGCTGGTGCTTCCCGAGGTCGCGGAGGCCGCGCCGGGGATCTCGCCGTCGCTCAAGAACTTCCTCCTCAGCATCGTCTCCGGAGGGGTCGTGCTCGTCGCCATCGTCGGCGCCGTCGTCGCCGTCTCTAACTTCGATCCCGTCAAGCGGCGCTGAGCTCGATTACATGCATCGTTGTGTGTTGGTGTACCCTATGTACTGAGATCTCTTCCCCCCCATGTAAACAGTGTTTGATATTGCGTGAATCTTTTGCCGTGTAAATTTCATTTCATGCTCGCATAGCCATCATCTGTATGAGACAGATTCAACAGCGAGGTCGGTTTCTGATCTTCGTGCATATTTCGCTCCAGCAACATTTTCGATATTCGGTCGGATCATGCCAGTTTATGTTCTGATATACATAGGAGTATATGAGATTCTTGGAATTAATGGTGGGTTCTCTTTGTACTCTTTTGTTATGTTATGGACTAAGTCACCTAACAGTATGATTCCATTGCATACTTTGTCTCACTGTTACTAAATTATGACTACCCTTTTTCTGCTCTGAAAAAAGTTGTGTTTCAACTTTCATTGTAGCAATTCCTTCTTCACATGATCTCTTTTCTGATCATTCATTGATGCATGATGAGGGCACTGAACTTTTCAAAGTGGGAAAGGTAAAGCATAATGAAGCCTCGTGCATATTATGGTAATGCAATACTTCTGATGTTTCTTTCATTCTTGTCAGCCACCCACCAAGTAAGAAAATATCCAATTCAAATAACACTTTTGGTCCATCTGCTTGGTCTTTTGACATGATCGATGGTTCAGAGAAAAGATGGAGCCCAATAAGGTATCGGAGGATGTACTTGTAACTGTGTCTGAGTGGGTTCTAGGTCCTGAATCCTTATTGTTCTTATGTCATGCAAAATTATTAGGAATTTGTTGCTGATCCTTTCAAAATTGTTCTTTGCAGTGAAGAACCATGCTCATCTGCTGCAGGCCAGTAAGCAAGATCGGATAAGCTGGATATATTCCAGACATGGATGCACATCTTCATGGGAGGTCACTAATTAACAATCCAGAAAAGTTTGATAGGAAAGAAACAGAACCTCAGAAGAAACTTGAGACAAGTTATTAGTCGCAAAGTGTTACTGGGCAGCCAAGAACTCGAGGACCAAGCTGTCATTTATCACTGGGCCCGTTCGCTTCCTCCGGAATGATCACCAGGAAGAATTCCCGGCTGGAATCGTTAGTCAATTTCCATAAGCTTCCAATTAGCCGGAATAATTCCTGGTGTCATACTGCCTCAAACGAACGGGCCCTTAAGGAGAAATTTTCTGACTGGGAATTTGGGATTCTCATACTTTCCATGTAAAGTGTACCACTGAACTAACTGATCAGTCGAGTTGCACCATGATACATTAAGGATTTCAATGCTGCTCCAGATTTGAGCATGTATCCAACTGTGGAGTCAGCTGAAAAGAGGCCTGCTTCAGAAGTTCATTCTATTTATCACGGACCTGAGAATCCTGTTTTTGAAGATGAAATTCACATGCAGTAGCCTGTTTCAGATATGTTTGGCAATAAAATTGAATTATCGAACCCATTTCAGACCAAGAACCTTCAGAGTGACATTGATATGAGCATTTTCTTTGGGCAGAAGGTGGACAAGAAGCAAGAAGATAAATTTCCAAGCTTCAGAAATCCAAGTTCAGACACCTTCCCTGCAGAGAAAGCAGCGAGTTCTTTAAGACAAACTGTCGATCGACACAGCAAAGTTTCAGGGGAAGGAAATGACAATGTAGGGAAGGAGCTCATTTCACACCCGCGAAATGCAGGAGCAAGCACTTACATGCGTGAGTTCCTCCATGTCCATTTAAGGGCTTCTCATTTTTTATAGTGTCTGTTTGAAAATATTAATGTTTCCTTCACCCGTTAGGATTTTAGTGTTGGTTTTCACCATAATCTTGCCTCATTGTATGCCTGTGGAATTCTGGATTTGTGAATTGTTGGTGATTAGTGGAAATCTGATGTTATACAATGCTAATCTATTAGACTTCTGAATATTTGTAAGTAAAGTCCATCAAAGGCTACAGATATGTAGTCTATAAGTCTACTCTGAACTTCAACTCTCACAATGACAGATCCCTGCTATGGCAACCCTTTCTTTAAAAATGTTCAAAAACCAATTTATTTATTTTATAATTTGTAGATACCATGTTGAAAAACCACTGAATTAGTATTGGAAAAGCACAGAAAACCAGATCAAACTGAAGTGGCTATAACTAACTTGCTCCTTGAATGTCTGCCATGCTCATGCAGATATAGATAATAGAGTCATCATGTATAACACAGACTCTAAATTAACCTAAGATACATATCAGCAGTCAGCTCGAACGCTTCGTAGCTCCTACGCAGGTGGCTTTCATCTGATGGAGTATCTACTTGCTTAAGATCCACTCCAGTCCTCGCTTCGGCGCACCAAGCAGACACTTGTAGTTGCAGTTGAGAGGAGGATGCTCCATCAACTCCAAGAACTTTGCCCAGCGCGCAATCGGTTTGCTGTCGCAGCCTCCTCTCCGGTTGCTGAGGTCACGCTGCAAGAAGCAGCCGATGCACACCCGCCCGAGTTCAAATTCAGAGTTCAGCGATGCTCAAATCGGCGAATCCAAGATGCTAAAACCGGAGTAGGTGGCTTACCGTGATGCGGAACGCCGCGACAATAGCCACGCCTACAGCGAGGGCGGCAGCGACGACGACGAACAACCGCAGCGTCGCCGCCGTCTTAGGCGTCCATCCCATTGCCCAGAAGCCAGGCCGCGTCAGCGTTCGACTCCACTGCACGCAGGCAAGAAGCCAGGAAGTCTGAGACCAATCAAGAATTGGATACACTGATGAAGCGAATGGTTAAAGAAAAAGGGAGATCGGGTCACCTGATCCCGACGGTCCCGCGGCACGGCGGCGGCGACGCGCCCCGGGGGCTGCTTCTTGCGCCGCCAAATGGAAGTGACCCGCGGCAGCCGCGCCCACCTGCTCCGCAGGAAGCGGACTATCCTGCTGCCACGCGGCGGCGTCCCGGCTGTGTGGCCGCCGCCGGGCGGTCGCCGCATTGGGATGTGACGGAGAGGAGGAGGCGGCGGCGGAGGCGGAGCAGCAGGGACAGGCGCTCCCCGCCGCGGCCCCACCCCGGGAGCAAGTTCTCCGCGGCCGCGCGGATCTCCAGCCCGCCGCGGTGCTTTAGGCTCAGGGTCACCGACCACGCCGGAGGCCCAGGCGGCGGCGACGACATGAGGGAGGCGGCGGTTCGGCCGCCGCGACTCTGCTTCTCCTGTGGTAACGGTCGAGTGGCCAAGGTGACCGGCGCGGGGCGTGTCTCGAGATCTGGGCCATCCGATCTAAAGCGTGGCGTCCAACCAGTGCGGGTGCTTTTGTGATTTTTTTTAACTGAGTTTTGTTTTTTAAGAAAAACATCGATGGGACCTTAATTAATATTAACTAGGTTGGTCAGTACTCATTACTACTTTCAGCCTCTTTTCACGCACATGCAAGGAACTGATAAGTCATAAGTGTTCAAATTTCAGTTCAGTTTTGTACTTTCAATGCACATAGTTGCTCATATGGTAAGTAAACTTGATAATATTTTGGTGTGAATTCTGGAACAAAATACTTCCAAGCAGTCCTGTTATTCCTTACGATAATGCTTTTTAGCGGGCGTCCGCCCCGCGTCGGACGCGCTAGTTGCGAAAATCTTCCCTGCCGACCAGTCGGACAGCAGCCGCGCGCCGACCCCCCTCCGCGCTCCCTCCGCTCTTCCATGTTTTTATTTTTTCGGCGCGCTAGACCGAGCAGCCCACACCTACAAGAACGCGGCCCATCCGCCGGAGCAAGCTCGGCCCAAGTTGGAGCGACGAGTGAGTCGTGCGATTCCGACTCCGATGGTAGCGTCCAGCACCGAGGTACGTATGTTTTCTTTCCTTTTTTTCTTATATTTCTTTCTCCACGTTTGTCTTTTTTGGATTCTGACTCCGACGGCATCCAGGATTCCAGGGACGTGTGTTTTTTTCTTTTTCTTTTTTCTATTTCTTTTTTGTTTTTTTTCATTTCTTTCTACTATTTCTTTTTTCTTTTTCTTTCTTTTCATCTTTCATTCCTTTTCTATTTTTTCTATCTTTTCTTCAATTATTTCCATTTCTTTTCTTTTTCATTTTTCATTTTTTGGTATTTTTATTATTCTTTTTGTTTCTTTTTTCTATTTTCATTTTTTATTGTATGTTTTCCTTTTCTTTTTTCTTTCCTTTCATTCATTCATTTATTTTTCTTTTCTTTTTTCTAGACTTTTGTCATTCTTTTTTTTATTCTTTTGCTATATTTATTTTACTCTATTAATTTTTATTTCCTTTTTTGTTTCCTTTCCTTGCTTTTATTATATTTATTCTTTTACTATATTTATTTTACTCGTGTCGTTCCGTCGAGCACACCCCAAGGGAGAACTCAAAAGTCCACATTCTTCTGTCAGGATCACAAATGAGAGAATAAAGCTTACAACATTCTTAACTATTTCCTACATCACTTTATTACAATATTAGAGTACTTAAACAAGTTGAATGCAATAGCGGAATTAAGACGGTTTTACATGTAAAAAGAGTTTATACATTTTAGATTCATATTTTTATCTTGCAGCGGAGAACAACATATGATCAGAGTTACAGCGAAAATAACGATTAATGGTGAATCATTAACATAGTGAACATTTATAAATCAGATATGATGACATATCATAAAACTTTTCTTCTAAAAACTTTTAGTGAGGGTTATAAATAAACACTACGGTCGTAGCGTGAAAGAAATCCTCTCTGAGCCCACCAGGAGGTTTCCACACATAAGAGTCAGCTCTATGTATCCTCTGGTCACCTGCAATAGAGGAAATTAAAACCCTAAGTACTCGATTGTACTCAGCAAAATCATCCGATAAGAAAAAAATAAAGACTCCAAGGATATGCAAGGCTATCTGGCTTGTAGGTTATTGCATATGCAGAAAGCATTATTAAACGTGTGTCCTTATATTTAATTTTATTAGCAGTCATCATTAGTTCATTAACTAACCATTCTATATAAGCACCTATGCTACTTTCAAGCAGGTGGTAAGTAATCAGAACTATTTTACCATCTTTTAGATTTCAGTTCTTACTACGGTGCTAGACCATAGCCAAGTCGTACCATCTCATAGAAACGACAATTCGTGAATCAATGTATCTCAGCTAGGTACCCCGAAGCACACGCCTCGCTCGCACCCTAGGCACAAATAAGACCAACCCATTCCACTCCTGTCAAGGGGTCCAGGTCCCCGTGCAAACTTGGACTCCAAGCCCCCAACACCTGAGACCCAGTCTCAGTATGGTGTTTAGACCTCTACCTAATACCCACCCCTAAAAGCCGGTCCAAAAAGAACCGAAACCCATGACAAGAGAGTAACAAGTCTTCCCGTTCCCATAAGCAAATATGTGCTCAGAATAATAAGTATGTGACCTGACTACCATCCACAGCAGTGGATGGTCCTCAATCGACATAGGCGAAACAAATGCAACCAGAGCCTCGCTCGATTGCCTAACCAAGTCTAGATCCAAAGTACTATTTTGCCTGGTCTCCAGTTATCATCCATATATATTTTAGGAGATAGTATATAATAATATTTTTCCTATCTCTCGCGAGTGATAGGTAATCACTCGACTTCTACCGAAATCCTTTAGCAAAGCAATCTACACGATCCTGACATACTAGTAGGACTCATAGGATAAGGATATATATATGCAAGTGAATTTCATTCAACTCCTTAAAACTTAATGCACAAGCATAAGATAAAGTGCAGAATAATATGGGTTATGCACCGGGACTTGCCTGGATAAGATATAACCAAAAGTTAGCATTCCATTATGGTGACACAGTCATTAAGGCACTATCTTTTCTGCTACTCTAGATGACTCAGCGATCCGTCGTCGTTCCTATTATGACATACGTGGATGCAATGCAGAGACAGTAATTAATCAATGACAATCGCAACTCTTATCATACAATTATGCCTCTCGCGCTAATGAGCTAGCTTTAATGACTAACGCACTAGGCTTCGTATCCACGTCGTCAAGTAAGGCTTTATCTCTAGAAAAATGTTTTAATTCTACAACCCCAAAGTGTTTTGGCATTTCATTGATTTAATATATATATTCAAACTATGGCTCATTAGCTATCTTAGCAAACTAATTATTATAGAGCTACAAAAATTAAAGTGAGCACCTAATAATATTAGGAATTTATTATGAAATTTTTAGAGCCAACACTATCACCAATTTATTACAAAAATTAATACAATTTTATATCTTAATAATATGAAGCATCTCAATTTAATTAGATAACTCCTAAAAATACTATGAAACTATGTGAACAAAATATACTAGCAGATAGATCATGATTTTATAAACCTAACAAAATTAGTTTGACAATTTTTTATCAACTACACAAATTTATATTGAATTTACAAATTTGTCTTAGAAACTAAATTAGAAAATGTTTTAGGAAAAGAAAAGGGCCGGTGGCAATCAATTCGGCCCAGCAGCCCAGCGCGGGGTGCGGCTGTGTGCGCACCGCGACGGCCCATCATGGCCCAAGGCCGGGGGAGCCCGCGCGCGACGGTTGCTTCGCAGAAAAGCCCTCGAGCTTTTAGATAATAACATAACTACTATGCGCACTATTCCAACCGACAGTGGTTTTGCAAACAAGCCCTCGGATGTTCTCACCTTTACCACGAGAAGACCCCTAGGATCCCCGTGCGCGCCGGCGCGGCGACCGACATCATAAGGCGGTTACGTCAGGCAAACTAGGCTCGCTACGATAGAAGTAAGGGGCCGACCACCATCTATGACTAAACACGCAAGGATAGGTGGCGGTTAGAAACTTGGAGACGCACTGGTGCGAACTACAACGATGAGCGGCTATCCACAGCGACGACATGACTGTTTCGATGAGCTAGACCAGCTAGAAGACTAACGAGTGATCGGGTGAGCATAAGGAGCATACAACATGCTCGTCCGAGGTGATGGTCTAGTCAGGGGTGGCCCGAGTAGAGCTGACCACATGTGACCGAGCGGGGCGGCGGCGCTCTGTGATGGACATCGACATGTCACCCCACTGTCGACGAGCACCCTGGCCAAAATAGCGCGAGCACCAGATGGAGGGAGTCAAGGTGAGTTTGGGGTTACGAGCAATCGAACTGCTATTAACCCTACGAGCCTTACCCCCAAACCTCTCGGCACGGTGGCATTTTGATCGGTGACGAGCAAAACGCTAAATTGGTGGTCAGTAGCGCTTGGCTGGGCAGGGGGAAGATGGGGCACCTAGTTGGCTTCTTATGCCACTTACTGGTGCGAGGAATCAAACTGTGAAGCCCTGAGCTAGGTGAATTGGAGGGCAGAAAGGCGGAGCTCTAGCCGTGGTCATGCCATGGAGAGGGCACCCGAGCGAGGGCGAGCGGATTAAGACGAGGTGGCTCCATTCGATGGCGGTAGCACAAACACGTGCGCACAGGTGGCGGTTCATGTGGCTTAGCGCGACACGCTTGAATGGAGCGGCAAAACCCGAACGGGGCTCACCGGCGTCGGCTAGCGGGGGCAAGGTGAGGCAGCGGGGCATCCCATCGCCACTGTGACTGGGGCCAATGACCAGACATGGCGGCAGTGGCATACGTCAAGGGCATAATGCGGTAGGTGAATAGAAGGGTGGGGTGGACGCCACGTCGACCGAGCGACGATAGCCACAACCTCGGCTTGGCCCTACGCACGGCACAGCGGCCAGCCACACAAGTGTGGCATGCACGCAGTAGCAGGAGCCAGGCCGTAGCTAGCCAGGGCTGACCAACACCAGGCCAGGGGCGCGCGACCGGCACGCGAGCTGGCCAGCAGCAGCCGCCCGGCACAAGCAGCACCCACGCACGTGTGGTGACCGTGGACTGAGGTTGCACAAGTGTAACTAGTGACATGCATGAGTTTTAAAGTGAAGCAAAGGATGCCAATCAACACGACCGGAGTTCAACCAATTACACTAACCTAAAGCCGATACTAAC